TGATAATTTACAGTCTCACAACAGTATATATTAGGTTATTAGTATTGACTGTATAAAAACCACATAAACATATATGAAAGTAATAAAAGTAAATATTTAATAGTGCTTGCCACGTCCAAGCGTTAACACAGGATACCGTATTCACAATATATTTAATTCATTTAATGTATTAAATATATAATCTCTAATTCTTATGATGATACATAATACTTTTAATCCTTCAACATATATAAATCATAACATATTATATCCAATGCAAGAATTGTATTAGTGATGGAGCTGGGATTTGAAAACAGGCCCTGGGTCTCTAGGGCATCCATACGCATTGTTGCCTTCTAGAAGAACTTTTTAAGAAGACATTTTATTTTTGAAATCTATTAGTAACACATCAACTTTAGTAGCAAAAAAATCTATTTTACTAATAAACTATGATTTTAGTAACAAGAAAATCTATTGCCTTAACATAATAAAAAGAAATATAATAGGTGTTTTTAATGCTAATTATTTTTGCTCCCATCTCCCATTTTACAGCCCTAATTAGGCCAGTGGCTAGTTACGTTAAAGTCGTTAAACCATTTATCTTTCTGGGCTTCAGCTTGGTCTTCTAAACTAGACTTTGCTGATTTCTGGAGTCCCTTCTAGTTCTAAAATTCTACAGCTCTGCTTATTTACTCATAATTGCTAATCCCATTCATAATTACTAACATAATTCTCTAAGATTCAGTGACAGACAAATACTGCATTGACCTGTTCTAGGGTTTAGTTTAATATGGAAGCCCGAATTACTTGGAATATATGTTATCTGTGTATTATCTTTGTTCTATAGATACTTGTAAAGAACTTTACCCAAGCATTTATTCAATAAAACATTAAAATAATTGTCATATGAATAATTGGGCTATATTCAGCTATGTCCAAAGTACACTAGTATAAATTTATAATGCTCACTTGAATTGATGCATTTTAGACAAATTTCTCACCTGTTGTCACAAGATTGATGATGCTCGGGAGTAGCTAATATGAACAAGCATACACAGAAATACAAGTTGTAATTTAATTTGCTTTCTTTAATTTTTATTTTAGTGGTGTATCAAATTTTACATTTTTTGTGAGGTCATACCATATTATTTAGGAACAATTTAAATAGCAAACAGTTACAACAAGTTATGAGAAAAATAATACTTTGAGATAAATAGTATTATTAATTACTTTCTTTCTTTTCTTTTCTTTTTTTTTTTTTTGAGACAGGGTTTCCCTCTTGTTGCCCAGGCTGGAGTGCAATGGCGTGATCTCGGCTCACTGCAACCTCCACCTCCTGGGTTCAGGCAATTCTCCTGCCTCAGCCTCCTGAGTAGCTGGGATTACAGGCACGTGCCACCATGCCCAGCTAATTTTTTGTATTTTTAGTAGAGACGGGTTTTCACCGTGTTGACCAGGATGGTCTTGATCTCTTGACTTCGTGATCCACCTGCCTCGGCCTCCCAAAGTGCTGGGATTACAGGCGTGAGCCACTGTGCTCAGCTAGTATTATTAATTACTTACCCAGAATGTTCAGTATAATTACGATTACCAGAAGGATAATATCATTGCACATACGACGTTCAGGTTAATTCCATGGTGGTAAGAATCTACAAAATTGGATAGATTTCAGTAGGAAACCCAGCAGGTAGTTCCTTAGAGATGGTAAGAGGTAGGAGAGGGCTAAATAGACTTTCTCATCTATCGTGCTCCTGAGTTACTTTCCTTTGAAATATGTAGACCCAGCTTATTTTTTTTCACATAAAACACAAATATGTGTGTGTTCCCTGGTTTGAATAAATATGATTTTTTCCTTACGGGTTCACTGTATGTATTCCTCAGTATTGATCTTACTTATCACTGTCTGTGTCTCTGGATTTTCATATAACACTGTGAAACCCTCAAGATTCTCTAACAAACTTTTTGACAACACCCACTTATTTGAGTTGATCTTTTCTGTTTCTTCTCCTATATAATGTATCCATTTTCTGTGATATATAATTGTAAATACATAAAACCATACATTTAAAATTAAAAGAAGCGTTAGAGATTATTTTAACACAATACCTATGTGTTAAAATGGGGATATTCAAGTTCACGGTCACACAGTTACTTGAGAGCAGAGCTGATACGTAACCTTATGTCTCTTGAAAATCAGACTAGTGCTGCCTTCAGTATTCACAGTATCTCATTGCATTTTGAGTACCACAAAGATAAATAAACCAAATAAAAGAAGTTGCATTTTCAGCTTTAGGCTGAAAGATTAAAATAACGGTCTCTGGTACATAAAAGGTTACAGTACATTGTTTCCACTACGCATGTGACATAAATGAACAATATGCTGAGAAAGTTCCAAAAACAGCTGATACTGAAATAGAACTATATCAAGACTAACTGGAATATTTATTTGGTAGATTGTTATTGAGTGCGTCGTTTTATGTTTTAATTATTATTGTTATTAATTAAAACATCTTTAATAAGAATTTGTTAATTTTCAAAACATTAAAAGAAGTTTACATATTTTCACTCATCAGACAAAACAGTCCAAACTGTGGGAGTCAAATCAGTCACAGAGAATGTGGTGATATCACTACACATTTCTTTCCTTCCTTCCTTCCTTCCTTCCTTCCTTCCTTCCTTCCTTCCTTCCTTTCTCTTTCTTCCTTTCTCTCTCTCTCTCTCTCTCTCTCTTTTTCTCTCTTTCTCTCTCTCTTAATTTTTGACAGGTTTTTGTTCTGTTGCCCAGGCTGGAGTGCAGTGGAATGATCATGGCTCACTGCAGTCTCCACTTCCCAGGTTCAAACAATCTTACCGCCTCAGCCCCCTGAGTGGCTGTGACTACAGGCATGTGTCACCATTCTAGTTTTCTAAATTATTTGTAGGCATGAGGTCTCCCTGTGTTGCCCAGGCTGGTTCCAAACTCATGGACTCAAGTGATCCTCCTGCCTCGGCATCCCAGAGTGTTGGGATTACAGACGTGAGTCATTGTGCTTGGCCACAACACGTTACTAATATGAAGAACTGAAATTATGGACCCCTAAATTTAGGAGAACAAAATTTCAGATTTCATGAAAAGACTAACCTAAAGGATATTGATCATTCTTTTAGGCCTCTGAAGTAACATTTAAGCAAAGCATAAATTTCTGAGATATTCTCAGTTCAAGTGCACCCACTCACTGGTGTCCTGCTAAGCTTCCTGGTGACATTCTTCTATCGTTTATATCTCAGAGAACCAATGAACACACACATACACACACATACACACACACACACACACACATACACACACACATACACACACACACACACACGCATATATTCATTGTCTAAAGAGATTCATTTATTTATTCATCCATTTATAAATTGTTTTACTTATCATGCATCTGTTAATTGCCTGCTCTGTACTTAGTACCGTGTGAGGTGCTAGAAACACAAAGATTAATAGATTAGGTAGAAAGATTCAGCATTATACCAGCTCTGAAATGATAAGGAATATGATAACCTTTAGGAGCAAAGAGAAGGACAATATCCAGAGTAAAAGTAGTGAAAGGTAGGAAGTTAGAAGAGATCAAGGACAATTGTGTAGGACACAAAAATCGAATCTATGCGACAGCTCCTTTCCTCTGCAATGTGACACATGAGAACAGAAGTTGTATTTATCTACCACCACACATACATAGCACGAGAACAATCTATTTGACTTCTGATCATAAGCATGGTTATAGGTAGGTAATTTATCCTTTATATGTTAGTTTTCTCCTTTTTAACATTGTAAGATTGAACTGGATAGCATTAAATGATGTTGTCCCCAAATCTCTAAACTGGGAAAGGAATAAGGTTTTATTTATAGAAGTTAAAACTAACACTTAAAACCATAAACAGAAAGGCAATTAAACCCTGGAATGCAGAATCAAAAATATTGGTTTTGTCGCTGAAACTGAGTAAAATAACCTCTAGGAAAATAAAATCGCACAACATTTTTGAAGCATAGGGGAATGAGAGTGCAGTTCTAGCCCATGCTGTTTTTCAAATTATGTTTCACTATCTCATAGTCAATGAAAGTGTCTAAGCTGGAAGAAAAGAAAGGAGGTTAGCATCTACTGAGTAAAATAGAAAGGTAAGGTTTAAAATAAGTAACGAGATGCTTTTGCATCTAGAAAAGAAAACACACTGGATTCATTTGATAACTGCAAGCCTTTGAAAATATAAGGAAGACATACTTTCCTTTGAAATACAGACAAACAAAATATCAGATTCATTCTACAAGGCAAGTGCAAAGGAGAAACTTTAAATTATTTTAAACACTTACATAAACGTTATGATATAAACCTTCTTACATGAGAGCAGAGAGTGGAAGTGTAACATGACACAGAAAGTTCCCTAATACTTCAGGGCATGGAAAATACAGACTATGAAAATCTGTAATTTTTGAGGGGGTTTTGTGATGAAGGCACCATGTTAAGTTTAGGCATATGCTATCTCCTCCGATTCCAGAAATATTCTAGACTTTATAAAATTAAATCTAACATTTCGTGTTGTCTTAAGTTAGTTTAACATTTTTATACTATTTGTATTGTAAAAGAATAAATAATATGAGTAAACTGCCACAGATATTTCCCTTGCTATAGATGAATTTATCATATTATGTTAAAAAATAGACTTCACTGAGAGTAAGCAAAGCTGTAAAGCAGAAAGGGGTGATTAGAAGTTGTTATGTGAATAGGCATTCATCACGAGAAAACAAGCAATAGGAAAGCTATGAAAACAGAGGCAAAGTTCTCCATATTAAAACCAGAGGTACAATTAATTTTACGAACAGACATTTTGCTTCATTAAAAACATTCACTCATTCTTAACATTCAATGAATTTTGCTTTGAATCCTGTCTCCTATTTTCAGTATGACAAATAGAGACACAGGATAGAAATAAAGGTGATCACTAGTAAAATCTTAATTCTAAAAGGCACCCTAATTACAGCTTACCAGATCTCTGAAGTGGAGATGGGCGTTCTAATGGGCAAGTCCTAACAGTTTTGATGAGAGCACAGACTACATCCAAAAAGAGAGAGAAGACCACAAATGATGTTCCACTGAAGGGACAATCATATTTCTGCAAGGAAACTTCTGGTAAGTTTAGTAAATTGAGATGGCAGATTTCCTTCTGCTTCCCAAGTGGGTGGTGGACTTCCTCCACGAATAAATGACAAAACCAATGCGCTCAGTCTTATTAATCAAGGTAACAGATTTCTTGAATACTCGTATAATATGGAAGAAATAACTAACCATGCAGTAGATTCTCATTCTTAGTTTTCTGCCTAAATTTGAGATGCTTTTAGCTTTTATTAATCCCACAGACGATATCTCACCATTTTCTTCTAAAAAGCTACTTCCACTTTCTCTTTTAGTTCAGGCATACATTCTCTGGCCGAAACTCTGTGAGTATCCAGCATCTTCTCCAAAGTGGAATAGCTATTTGGAAAACAGAACAAGAAAATGAAGGAATTTTATTATGAACGATACAGAAAGGGGTACTATGTCTTTTATCCTTCTCTCAAAATGCATTGTATTATCTAGATAATACTTTAAGAATTCTGAAAGCTATTTCCTTTCTTATATGATTTATAATACTAACATTCAGCTGAGGTAAAACATGAATTATGCAGAGGACTTCTGAAATAAAAATAATATATATTTAAGAAACAGAAATAACTCCATGTGAAAATAATTCAAGGTAATGGCATAAAAGAAAAAGAAACCCTACTTTTAAACTGAGATTGTACAGAAATACTCTTGAATACAATATAGCAAACATAGATTTTTGTCTCCTGTTTCTTTTAAAATTCCACCAAAATCCTATTGCGTGAATAAAAATTTTAAGTCTAAAACAGTAACACACAGAGTCTCAGGGTTCTATCAGTTGATGAAAATTTTCAACTGATTCCTGGAAAATGGAGAGTAGATGGAGATGCGATCATTGATGAAATAAAATCAGAGAAAAATGCTGCTGAAACCATACAAGGGGAAATAATGGAGGAGAACCTAGCCACCTGTAAAACCATCGTAGGACACAGAACTCAGAAATCTCAGATATGAAAAATGGTGGGATCCATTAGCTTATGACCGGTAGATTAACTGGAAATCTGCGTATGTAAAAATTGGTTTTCTCTATACCCACACAAGTGCATTCTTAATCTAAACTGCAGTCACCTCATCCCTACCCCTCATCCAAGAAATTTAACTTATGTTAATTAAATAGCTAGAAGACAGATCCTGGCTTTACGGCATTTAGGGATCCCTGGATGGGGCTTGAGCATTGACCTCTGTCTCTTAAAACTGCCATGACACTCTCTCTTTTCTGGGTTGTTCTAATACTTTGTATGTGACTAGACAATATCTACTACGTTTTGATCTCCATTTTACACATGAAAACCTGACTTTTAGAGTTTATTATCTGCAGGTGGCTGCATAAACAGTACATTTTAAGAGTGATAACTGAGTTCTAAGTCCATGCCATAATTCAGTTATGCTCTCTAGACTTTGAGGGTAAGAATCAAATTCTATTATTTTTTATTTTCATCGCTTAGTTTTGTATGAAACACGACAGTCACTCAGTAATTATGTGCTAAATTACCAAATCAATTATGCTATACTGAATGTTATAATTAGACTATGATAGTTTTCCAGAATGAGAAAAATCATTTTTCACTAACAAGTAGACTTTTATTCATATGAAAAATATGACTAATGATCTAGTCATACAAAAGTAAAAAAAAAATAGCGTGAAGAGTGTTAAAAAATTACGATAAGCATGTCCATTTCTGCCAAAAAAAAAGTCATCTGGGATTTGGCAGATCAATTTTGGAAATATTGCAAACTAAGTAATATTAATTTTTTCAATTCATAATCTCTTTTTATTTAGATATTCCTTAATTTATTTCAAAGATAGTTTGCATTGCTCAGAGTATAACTCTTACACTTCTGTTATTAAACTTCCATTATTAAAATTATTTTTGATGTAATTTTAAGCAGAGAATTTTTAAAATTTCATTTTTGGATTGTTTATTGCCAGTGTGTAAAAGCACTATTATTTATATTGATTTGTAGCCTACTGTCTTGTTAACCTTGTTTGTTACCTCTAATTTTTGTTGTTTCTGTGAATGTTTTAGGATGACATCATATGCAATATCATGCTATCTGCAAATAAAGATAGTTTCACTTCTTCCTTTACGATTTGAGTCTGTTTTCTCTTTCTCTTATTTAATTGCCTTGGCAAGAAACTCCAGCGTGGTGTTGAATGGAAGAGGTGAGAGCAAATCTACTTCATCATTTTCACCAATATCATTCCCAGGTTGGGTTATCAAGGACTGGTTTTTCAGCAACAGGGCAATGAATCCTTGTTATGTACAGTGTGAAGACTTAGTCAATGAATTTAAAATGATGAAAGTTTATTTTTACCTGGTTCTTTGATATGTGTTACATTTTTAAACAAAGGTTATCCTATTATATTTTCCCTCTGTGTTAGAAATGCTTAAATTAAAATTTAAATGTGTATTGGTGGACCACAAATCATATCCAAATCTGACTTAGACACAGACACATAATTTTGAGATCCTGGAGGTAAAGATAAAGGCAATAATTGCATAGAAGTATATTTCTCTTAATAGAGGGGCTTCATGTTTATTTATGTATACATTTTCAGTAGTGGTTTGTGTAGTTAAGTTTTTGAAAAGGTAGGTTTTTAAATATTTAGTTTGAAAAGAAGAATGTGCTTACATAGCCATTTAGATGCAATTATAAAACTATTTTAACATCTTTGTCTGCTAGTTTCTTCATTTCTGTCACTTCATGGCAAATATATTTTAAATTTACAGTTATTTGTTATTGTTCGTATTTTCTGCTTCTTGGCATGTTGAATAATTCCTTATTAGATGCTGGATATTGTGATTTATGTTTACAGATGCCTTGATTTCATGGTCTTTGTTTAAAGCATGTTATGTTGGTTATCTTAATTTAAAGATGTCTTCATTTAAAGACTATTAAATCCCCTGCATTAAGAGAAATATACTTCTATGCAATTATTACATTTGTCTTCACCTTCAGGATGTCAAAATTATGGGTCTGTGTCTAAGTCAGATTTGGATATTGCTTGTGGTTCATCAATACATATTTAAATTTAAATTTTAATTTACCTTACCAATTAATTTACCTTACCTGGAGATAAGTTTAATGCTTTCGAAACCTGTTTTTAATTTTTGTTAGGTATGGGCTAATCTCACCTCCTCTTCAGGGATAGTTTATTCCTGATACCAAGGTCTGATCTTTCTGAATGGCCTTGGTGATCACTGATGATAACACAATAAGAGATCAAGGGTTAAAAGCATTAAATTGTCAAAGATGCAGAACAGACAGTCAGTTTGATAAATAATTAATGACATTTTAGGGGAGGCTAAGAAAAAGGAAGTTGTGCAGTTACAAAAAGAGGAAATATGTTCTAAAATAAAGAGTAAAATATTAGCTTAAAAGAAATCATTAACTTTAAGTGTCGATAAAAAAAATGGACGTTTACACAAAAGTGGAGGGGCCAGTATTCTCTAGGAAATGATGTCAAAACTCAGTAAGCACACACATTTGCTCAAAAGAGTTTTGTTAATGAAGACAAGATAAACGGGAGAGAGACAAAGAAGAGAAAAATTTTCAGTAATTTAGCTGGAGAGAGTTTTATTGTCCTTATGTACTTGAAATATAATAGTTGGGCTGAATATAGAAGTTTAGATCCATAATCAGATTTCCTCTGAATTTTAGTGGCACTTTCTGCCAGGTGACATAATTGTTAAAAAAAAATACAATTTTCATTTCTGATCCTGTGTCTGAGGCCTAATTTTTCTATTTGGAGACTTTCAGGATCTTGAATTTATTCTTAGAATTCTGAAATTCTGCAGTGAGGTGTCTTGTAAGTCTATTTTTATCCTTTCCACCGGGCATTCAATGTGAAGCTTTAAACAGGAAACTCACACCCTTAGCTTCTGAGAAAATTTTTTTATACTTACTTCCTAATTTTTCCTCCTATCTTTATGTCTTTTTCTGGCATTTTAATGAAATATTAGTGCTCTTGGGTTGATGTTCTATCATTATACTTTTTCTTTTACCTCTTCCTCTTTAGATTTTATTATCTAGGAAAGTTCTTAAGTTTTCCCTCCACCCATTTCATAGAATTTGTTTTTCTCAATTTATTTAGTTATAACTTTAATTTTCAAGAATTATTTCTTGTTGTGAAATGATCTTTTTTTAATATATAGTTTACTCTTTTTGTTTGATATGGTGTTTTCTCTCTCCACTCCTGAGATTGTGAATTATGAGAATATTTTAAATCTTTCTTTTCCTTTTACCATCAGTTCTAATTTGAACTTCATCTTATATGTGCTTGTTTTGATCTCTACATTTTTTTTTTTTTTTGACACAGAGTCTTGCTCTGTCGCCCAGGCTGGAGTGCAGTGGCGCGATCCTGTCTCACTGCAACCTCTGCCTACCAGGTTCAAGTGATTCTCTTGTCTCAGCCTCCTGACTGGCTGGGATTACAGGCATGTGCCACCACACCCAGCTAATTTCTTTGTATGTTTAGTGGAAACAAGGTTTCACCATGTTGGCCAGGCTGATCTTGAACTCCTGGTCTCAAGGGATCCTCCTGCCTTAGCTCCCAAAATGCTGGAATTTGGGTGTGAGCCACTGGTCCTGGCCTGATCTCTACTTTTATTGGAGGCTCTAAATATCTGGTAGTCCTTAGTTCTCTAACAGTGAGCAAGACTGAGGTATTAAATAAGCAATGGAATTTCTGTGTCTGGGACCAGTGGACATCACTGGATGTTCAGGCAGAGGTTGACTATTTCCTCTTGGTCTCAATATTTGTAGGACTCTATTATTAAGCAGGTCAGTTTTTTTTTTTTTCAATCTTCCTGGGCACCTGAAGCCTGATTGTCAAGGATTTTGAGGTTGATTAGCAGATGGGTCAAAGCATCTCTCTGGTTTTCAGAATTTAAATTAATTCCTCAGTCTTTAATAAAGCACTTCTTCCCTTAGCCTTGCCTAGATACTTCTACCCTGAATTCGGCCTCATTTTGGCACAGTAATGCCAGACAATAAATGTCCAATCTTCGGTAGACATACAGGGGTGAAGTTTGGTTTGGTCAAGGTGCTCCTTGTATAGATTTTCTAACAATTCTCCAGTTTTCCCTCATATGGAACCCATGCTGTGTTAGCTTTCTATTGTTAAATAACAAATTATTTTAAGC